TTTATTTCCCCCAAACATATTTATGTAGCTAAAATTAGTTTTAACTAATGTTAAAAGTTAAAACTAGTTTTATCTAAAATCAAAACATGTACAGCAGTAAATTAACTAGACATAACGGGTTTTGTCTAGTTAAAACTAGAATTTACTGTTAGTCAAAAATGAATTTGAGTTAAAACTAGTTTTGACTAGACAAAACGGGTTTTAACAAAGACATTTAGTATAAACTAGTTTCAACTAGTTAAAACGCGTTCTAACTAAAAACGGGTTTTGACTGTAACATATACATGTATGTTAATACGAATAAAGTCTGACGAATGGAGATATACACGAACCCCTGCACCTTTAACTACCAAAATTTAATAGCATCAATGCCTCTCCTATACAACTACCATGCCAAATTTTGTTACTTAATCTTTACCCCATCCTGAGATATTAAGCGAAATCGACGCCAACACATACACATGCGGAATTTTTTCTCGTTTTTGGGTTCAATCTGAAAACCTGAAGATTTGCAAAAAACTCGGATGGTGAAATTTGACACGATTCCAATACTCTCCTTGATATGTACACATAACAGCCAGGAAAGTAATAGTTCAGATAGTGATGTTAATTTTTAATTATAAAAAATTCCGGGATCCAGATCGGACTCCATTTGGATATAAGATTGATATTTAACTTATCACACGGCAATTTTCTTTTCAGCGAAAACTATTTTTTTTTAATGAATCTGTTTCCGAATAATAGCAAAATCTTTAATGATTACAGATTCTTTTCAAAAATAAATTCCTATTAAAAATTGATATAACATTCTTATGAGAAGATCGTTTGCTTTCAAATTAGAGAATCAACGTTTGGTATCCTTTTCTCGAATATCCATTGGTTCGTCCACCAATGGATATTCGAGAAAAGGATACAAACAAGGTTGTCAGATTGGTTCTTTTGAGGGCTGGTTGGCGTCAGAAAATCTGATAGACACTGGCTTTTTGAAATAATTTACATTTTTCTTTCTTTTTGCATGTATGAAATCTAGAAAAAACAATTGTCTTTCTGGAAGCCAACAAAAATTTTCCACTTTAAATGCATAATTTTTATTTTTTCCCTGCAATCTTCTCTTCAGTTTCTCCGCATTTTTGATGATACAAGTTTGGTTAAGTGTACTCTACTGAATCGTTTTTAGCTTCAGGAACTTTCATTTTTCTTTCTGTAGCTATCTGAACTTTATGTTCAATGGAGTTGACTCATCAGTTTTCTCTATCTCAATATAATTAACTCACTCTAGCTAAAGCTACAATAAAATTCAGCTATGTGACAGTCTGGCTCTTAACATTTAAAAATGGCAAATCTGATTACACGTAAATTAAAATGAATATTAATATACTTCCTTATGTCCTTAATACTCACAGGAATAACAAGGAAGGAAGGTTTTTATTCTCATTTGAAAAATATTTAGAAAGATATTAAGTGATAATAGTCAGAATTATTTATGCTATATGAAAGGCAGTGCATAATTTAAGTCAACATTTGCAAGTTGCAATAGTCTGAAATTACAAAGAACCAGCGAATCTTTGACATAAATTTATTTACAATTAGCTGGCGAACAGAAATAAAACAGCATATAACCTTAGTATCAAAATCGTTTTATTCGAGCCATTCATAACCTACATTTTAGAGATTCTGTGTCAAAATATTATCAAATTGATAAAATTGACAGAATCCGTAGCTTATAAATAAAACAAGTTTTATTGGCGAGCCACAGATTTATGGAAGGTAAAAAGGATAATAGTTACCACGGAAATACAACAAAACAATATCATATTGTTTCGATCCGAAATATCCGAACTTGTGATTCTGTGGTCAAGCTCATAGGTTTCAAAATCACCACCAATATTCCAAATGTAACTGGAACAACCTGAGTAACGAATCTAGGAAAATATGTAGTTAGTGTTTTAAAAATAATGTCAAAAATTTTGTTTCGTCGTGGCTTTGTTAATCGACTTTTGGTTTAATATTTGTTGATTTTTTTTCTTTTTGTCTTTAGACACTTGAAAAAGGCCAAATGGCCACAGTGTTTTTTCTTTATAAATAAATTTCACATTGTTTCAACAAGCAAAAGCATTCATTTATAAAATAAAAATAAAGGAATATTTGATTTCCTATAAAGTCGATATCTATTAAACGGATTTTGTAAACAATGTACCAAAAAATTAGTGAAACCAAAACACGTGGCAAGATTTAACAGATTAATTAATCTCGTCTTGCTTAAAGTAACCTTCACCTTTGCTTAAAATTACGTACAGTGTACACGGTAACTTCATTTACTATATATACTAATTTATTGGTTTTCTTACAACTTTTTAATTATTGCCAGTATTATTTAATGTTTCGTAGAAAATTCCTCGGTTCTGCTTAGTCCGTCGAATCGAAGATCGATCATAGTTATTTTCTTGAGCATGACATTTTCGATTGTAGAATTAATTTTTTTCTTTTTACAACTTTTGACTGAAATACGATCCAGAAATCCCAATAAGAATCAGAAATGCAGTAATCACCAATGAAGAGAGGAGAAGGAATTATTTTCAAGAAAAATATAAGCCGAACTCATATTCAATATAAATCATAAAATTACGGATATTTTAAAATGAAAATTTACTTTTCTTTGTCTTTAAGATCTCATTAAATTTCGGATACTAACAAAAATTGTGTCATAAAATTTAGTAAAATAATTTTAATAATTTAACACTGAATATTCACGATTAATTAACTAAAAATAAATTTTTTGTATATATATATATATATATATATATATTCAAAAAATTTACTTACAAAAAATCTACTAAACTGGACCAGTTTAGTAAGTTGTGGAACATCTGATATTCCATGAATCTGCTGTTGCCTGTACTAGATTGTCTATTTTAGCTTATTGTATCAGAGTTCAACATAATTTTGAATTCAGAAATATTTATAAATGTAGTAGTAATGAAACAAGCTGAGAATGGAGAAAAAGAAAAAAATATATAAATGTCTACACATATTTTAGAAACAGATACATTGGATCCCAATTTGTTACTACAGTATTTTCTCAATAACTTATTAATCAGTGTCTTATGTTTAATGTCTTATGTAAATGGTTATCATTATTAAATTATTTTTAATTTAGCACAATGAAATGGTTTAGAATTGAAATCAATGCCCCAAGAATAGTATTTAAAGTTTATTTCTAGATTTTTCAATATGTATAGCTTAAAAAAACTTAAGAATAAAATGAAACTTATTATAATTTGTCTGATTAGATTGCTCAAACTTTATTTCAATCATTTCTAAAATTAAGGCATTAATTACATATTTAAAGTAATAATTATGATGAGTCTGCCTAAAATTAATTTAACTTTCTATTTTCAGGTTTGAAAAGTAAAATTCCTCGAGCTGTGATTTCAATGTAGAAGTTGTGCAATTCCTCAAGTTGATCATAACAAGAATGATTTAAATTTAGTTTTTAAAATTAAAAAAAATCATTTCTATCTTACAAGAAATTTATATTTTTCTGTAAAAAAATAATTACATAGGAATTATTGTTTTCTAAATATTAAAAAATGAATTCAAAGACTTGATAAATTAATAAATAGATTTTCTTTTCTGCTTTAATAAATTTAAAAGTTCACCTTTACACTCTGATAAAGCAAATATATATAATTTCCCCCCTTCTCATAAAAATGAATTTTTTTAAATAAAAAAAAATATATATATATTTATTTATATATAATTTTTGAAGGGCTTAGACTAGAAAGTTTATTAAGAATAATTCGAATTCAATGGCGAACATCGCCGCGGGAAACAGTTTAGGAACCATCGCAACAAGATAAGTTTGTGACGAGATACTCTTATTGAAAATAACAGATTATTATCAGTTGACAGAATCGCAATGTCGAGGATCCATCATTCCAGTATAATTTTACAAGAACCAATGTTCTTTGTAATATGAATCGGCTTTATACAGATGCAGGTCGGATGGCCGAGCAGTCAAGGTGCCAATCTACCACTTATGGAGAACCCAAGATCAAAACCTAGGCGGGTTGAAAAATCTGTGAGAATTTTTCGGATGGTCCGTTCAGATATGACAAACCCCCGTCTTTCACACCCGGTCTCCATAGTGTAGACTTGGCATTTATGAAGAATATTAATACTATTGTGTTACGTTATATGGATTGGAATGAATATAATTATAATACAAAGAGTTGATTTATTTACATTACATTATGTGATTATTTTATAAACGATGTTTAAACAACATACTGATAAGGCATCTGCGTGTAATATAAAAGATGCCAAATAATTATGTTACGGATTCATTTAANGAAACTTTTCCCTTTTTTCTTTCTACAGTTTTCATTTTTATAACTCAGTAATGTTTGGCAACTGAGCAGACTTATAATTATGAATGTATCAGACTGATACATACATACTGCAAACATATTGTGGGAGGCATGATTTCTTGTGCACGCGAAACCCGAATCAAAACACTTTAATAAATTTTAAATAATTAATTTTTTTTTATCAAGTACTTAAATGAGACTTCTGAGAACATACATAATTTGAAATAATTCACTGTAATCTGTGCAATACATCTTTTAGGCAGTGTCGTGTATCTGTTTTCATATATATATAATATGTATATATATAATTTTTCCTCATTTTGAACTGTTATCTTTATAGCCTTTAAAAGCAATGGGTGTTTATAGAAATATGCATCATTATGTGGTTGTTTTATTTTCTTACATACACGGTAATTTTTAAACAGTACATTGCTGTGAAACAGCTTCATAAAAAATGTAGACAGTAAAATGTTTTACCACATTTCCGAACAGTGGTGGTGTTTAAATAATTACACGCACACACAACCGTCGCGGCAATTACCATGACGAGGGGAAAGAGCGGGAAGATGAATTGTTTGGAAGTACAAAGATACAAAAAGCTTCACTGAGATGTTTTCTTTGTCAAACAAATATGAATGACAATAAATTATATGCAACCACATAAAACAGCATACGTGATATTGTCAGGATGAAATAATGATACTAAGAAAAACTTTATGGAATGCTGAATGTTGGACATGTAAATTAGTTGAAAATTTTCAGCTTTTTCTCCTGAAGTTTTTACTATCCACATCCATTGGTGACAGATGACCCACTAACAGTTGACAGAAACTAACAGTAACTCAGGTTGATGGGAGATGCACACAAATGTTGACTTTGTCACAAGAGTTTTGACAAACGGCACAGGACTAAAATTTTGAAGATAATCAAAACACAACCACACTATATAAGCTTGCATTTTCTGCTTTGTTTTGTCTCCCATATTTTTAGTCTTTGATAACTCACAGCATTCAGTTTTTCAGGATACTGACGATGACTTTGGTCCATAAATTCCGAGATGTTTTGATTCCAACTGAAGTAAATCCGTATTCCTTTTGTTCTGTAAAGTTACATTAAACAAACTACTGACTGCATATAAAACTCTTTTGATGACATCGCTCTCTCTGTGCAATGAGACTTCGAAAATGTCACACCAATACATTAACAGTAACTTTGAACATCTTACATACATCATTGAAAAGTTTTGTAAATCACACTTTTAACAATTGCCAGATATGCCCCAATGATGTATGGAGGCATACATGTGCAAACTGGCAGGATCAAAGCGATATGCTATCCTTTTAGAGGTGTTGAACAGATGGAATTTATTCTTCTTTCCCAAAACCACACAAAGATAAATGGTTTATGATGGGCACCTCTAAAATTTTAGATTGAGACATCAATTAGAACAATGTTCTCACTGACGGCACAAATAAAATGCTTCATCTTGTAATGACACACTTCATTCATGAGGCCTTGCCAATTCTGACAAGCAATGTGCTATAGTCCTTGATGATTCTAAGGATGCCGTTGCTAAAACCATAAGGTCAGATTCATATCGCTTTAGATAACTATAAGTAAATAAAAAGTTCAGTAATCAGTTAAGTTATAATTAAATTTTAAAATCTAATATAATTTTTCAGTTTCTTATTTATAAGTTTCAATATATTAAATTTTTGTTTACCTTCTGGCAAGTGCACAACTTTCAACTAAATTTCTCAAAATGAGGGCACTTGTCAATCTGATACTTTTTGTTAATGAATCTTCTTTCTCTTCCAACTGAAATCATATTGAAAATGTTTTTCATCAGTTATTACAATTACAAAATTACTATTCTTTAAAAATATTTTGTATCATCATAATTTTTAATTATAAATTTTCGTAGGTAAGGTACAGATAAAATTTCATTAATATTAATTAATACAGAAATCTTGAAAATTATTATCTACAAATCTTATCACAAATATTCATTATCATATATCTTGTAACAGATGGCTGATAACATAGAGAGACTATTCAATTAATACAAAATGAAACATTAAAAATAGAAAAAAAAAGAATACAGAAAAATTTTATATTTTTATGGTGCAAAGGGATTAAAAGATCTATTTAAACAACATGTAACATTTCTATTCTTGTATGCAGATACAATAAAACTGCAAGAAGCATCAAATGTTTACAAAATATAAACACATTGCTAAGTTTTTACAGAAAGTCTTTAGCTATCCATCAATATTTAACTTTCAGAAAGAGAAAAAACTTGAGGATAAAATATTACATATATATAATTGTTTGCTGGTCATATATACCAGGTTGTTCAATAAGTTTTGTCGTTCGATAAGAGGTGGCGCTACTAGGAGCGTCACTTTATTATTCTATAAATAGTACTACTATTTCATAAACACGTGTCAAGTTTCAAGTAGATCCGTCAACTCATTGTATATTTGCAGCTGTTCAAAGTCCATGTGTCATTGTATTTTTTTACGATGGAAAAAATCGAATATCGTGCAGTGATAAAATTCTTATTTTTGGAAGGTGTAGCACCAAAACAAATTCATGAACGATTGTTAAAAGTGTATAAGGACTCTTCACCTTCAATCAGAACAGTAGAAAGATGGGTTGCTGAATTTAAACGTGGTCGTACGAGTCTTGAAGACNTAGTCCGTTACGCGCTCACGTCACAGATCCAAACTTTCGATCTTGTGATTTGACACATTATCTTAGATTATTTTATGCGATATGCTTCTTGTCCAGTCTTGTGTACAAATATACGAGAGCTAAGACGGCTTTTCTTTTTCACTAGACTAATTACACCATCACGTTATTACACCATGGTGTAATAAGTCTAGTGAAAAAGAAAAGCCGTCTTAGCGCTCGTATATTTGTTAGATTATTTTATTTACTACAAAATCATTGTGAAATAATTCATTGAAGCATAAAAATATCCTCAATCGCTGTCCCACTCAAAATTTAATCTTGGGAAACCGAGTTGGAAGGATAAAAAAAAAATTTAATGCGAATATTATTAAATTCCCACCTTATGTGACTTCTAATTCATAAGTAATATAGAAATAGAAGACACCATACAATATAAATGAAAAAAAAATATTTTAATTAGGAAAAGATTAGTAGGTCTGATATTGTCGCTGATAGAAAGATATTTTCATAATCACATTACAGTTGCGCATACATTACTCTATCTTAAATCTTTTTAAAATTAATTAATACTGCGATAACTGCATTTCAATATAATTAATTTTCTTTGAAATCCTGTGATTTTATTTTATGCCTTTTAACAATAAGTTATCATTCTGAAAAATGGTATATGGGGTTTACCAAACTAGTATAAAAAAGGTCTCTTCTCTTCTCTGGTCACAGTATTTAAACTATACAAAGGTAACACAGTAATTAGTCTTATAATTCAAGACCGGCATGAAAATTTACAGAAAACTGAAAGTGTTATGATGGATTCTTCAGAATTTTGAGCATAAGTTGAGGACTGAAAAAATTTACCTGAGAGTACTAAATTAATATTAGCATCTTAATGAAAAGAGGGAATTTGCGACGATAAAAAGATATAGTTTATTATTAAATCTTCAGGAACTAAATATTTTCATATCGTACGGAATCAAACTAAATTTTGATTCCGTACGATATGAAAATATTATATTGTTATATTATATTATTATATTATTTGTTTATATTATAAATATTATTGAAATAGCAGAAATAGCAAATATTTTTATATTTATCTGATCTCTGGTAGATATGATTAACGAAATGATAAGTGAAAGCTTCATTTACAACTTTGTACTGTCAATTCATAAAGCTCGAAAACATTTTAATTTTTCATGAAGATATCATGATTTACATTTAACATTTTTTTTTTTCTAAGCTTCAAAAATTCCTAAATTCTCAGAGCTTCAAATATTACTTAGAGTCGAAAATTGTTTTAGATCCTTATTTTTCGTGGAGAATTAGGATTGGGGTATCATTTTATCTATTCCATCCAAAATGTCAACTCCACTGTGGATTAAATGGAGTCCATTGTTTCGGATATTAAAACTTAGAAAGTTTTATAGTAAATTAGACTTTAGTATATCGGATCCAGACCCTCATTACCTAGCTTAGCCGCGCATGCAAAAGTCTTTAATGTCTATAGAATGGGGATTTAAAAATTGTAGGGTTACAAATATTGTATATATTTTCAATAAAATTTTTGAAATGAAATGAAATTTTTGAATGAAAGCAAATTTTTGTTACCGTGGATAGTACAGGTAGGCCTCCTACAACGCGGTACCTTTACAACGCGTTTTCGCTCCAACGCGGTTGGAAAAACGCGGATATTTTCTTACAACGCGGTACTTTTACAACGCGGTTTACGATATTTAGAAACGAACAGAAAAATCACATAACAGAAAAATCGCAACGGATCACGTAATACACGCCGCAGTTCGGTGTACAGAGCTAAATGTTCTGGAAAACAGCTGTTTTTCCACTTTGACGTGTTATTCCCATGAAAGTTTCAGGGGAAGACCGGTATCTAGACAGATGTGCATCAGTTACCATAAACACTCAAATATATAACTGAATTTTCAATAATTTATACTCTTTCAATAGGTGGGGACCGCAAAAATGGTCCAAAATACAGTATAAACGTCTATTGGGTGTATATTTTTAACAACATAGTGAAGGGAAGTTACTTTTTGCGATTTTTACTGTCCACAAAACTGCTTGAAAAAATTTTAGCTATAACAATGTCGAATGAAAAGAAAGGACCGTCGTTAGAAAGGAAATTTATTAATATATCTCTTCAAACAAAGATAGAAATTTTGGATCGAATTAAA